GTTTTGTATTGACCCAAACCCCTAACACCACATATCTTCAAAACTCCCTTGCCCCCATGCCCATGAGTTAATGTTCACAGTTTCATTGTCTCTTTGTGCACACCCATCAGGTTTATAAGCCTTCCTTTTTTTTTATTTTCAATTTTATTTTATTTTTTTAATTTACATCCAAATTAGTTAGCATATAAGCCTTCTGATCCTAATAAAAACGGAGCAAGGACCCTTACTCTGGGCACTTTTCTCCTCTGGGACATTAGCCTCTCTCATTTCAATCCTGCATCTGCTCTCTTGCTGGACAAGAGAGAACTACAGACCCAGAGTCTACAATAAGTGAGAAACTTGCAAACACCAAACTCCATAAAGGGTAGCATAAGTGCAGGAATAAATAGACAAATATGTAGACTGATCAGAAAGAAAATATTGCTGGGGTAGCTTTTCTTTTTACAGCAGAACATTATCCACTGACTCATGCCTACACACCCTCAAATCTCCTGCTTGCAACTACCACCTGAGACACACTTCAGACCTCTTCTTGATCTTGGATTTACATCCTTACCTGTCCTTACTTTTCCTGACATGATTAACCTTGGCTTCCTGCTTCCTGAATCTGCCAGGTCACTCTATCTATTCTGCTTGGGCTCAGCTTTGCTATCCTATTATGGCCACTGGATTCACCCCCTGCCTATATTCATTCGTTTTCATTTTCATCTATCTTCTTATTGGCTCCTGCTTCTAAACGTGACCCCACTGATGGATGTTCCCATTCACCAATTTCCCGCTATGGTGGACTCTGACTCCATCACTCTGGGCACAAGGTCGATAAATTTCCCTGCAACTAGCAATAACTTCTACATTCCAGTCTCCTCAGATCGTTCTTACCAGGCTAGATTGGCCCAGGGTGAGAGAAGGGGTTGTCACATAGAAGCCCATGGGGAAAAGTAATGTCTCTAGGATTGGAGACTAGCCAAATCCGACCTTGCATCTCCACTGTTCATTACCCACAAGCCTAAATTTAGCCAAATTCTGAAAGCTCACAAGAAACAGTACATATTCATGCTGTGCTAGGAGAACAATGAGTGTGTACAAAGTGACTTCCTGAGTTAGTGTCAAAATTGTGACAAACTCCTCTTAAGGGGAACTAGAAAAAAAATAGCTTTCCCAAGTGTGAAATGTCTTTTAGACAAGATGCACCAGCTCAAATGTAATTTCACTGGATCATATTTACTTAAGGTGTAACTTTAGCAGCAGCAGAGAAATAAGCAGAGTAAGAGCGATTTACAGTTGTTCTTTTCCAAGAACTGTCAGGAAAGCCAAGGGTATTACACTAATTTATTCACATTCTACTTTTCTAAAAGATATTTACGCCTGGACATGCAAATCCTCCAAAGTTACTTTTAAACCCAATGAGGGTGTGAACAGTATCACCTGAGTTAATATGAGAGTGCACGTGCTTACCTTTAATGTCTCGTTGAATTCTGGATTGGTGCCTGTTCTGATCTTGGTCTTGCGTTTATTGTTTCTGGACTTGTCAGGGAGAAGGTACGACTTGACATAACTGTAAACGATAACACATGAAAGTAATTATTGGGAAACTTACTTTGCAAGAAATAGGGGCAAAAAATTTAAAAAAAAAAAAAAAAAAAAAAAGAAATAGGGGCTTCAGCGAATAAAAGAGGTGAAGGGAATAGGCCAGCACACATGAGAAACCCAAAGAGAATATAGTCTGCACAGCAGGACACCTTAAAATATAACTCTGGACCTTCAATAAGAGAAAAGTAGTATAGTGATAAATAGTGTGGGCTCTGGAGTCGATCCAACTAGGTCTGAATCACTCCATGCCTCACTGGTTTTGGTAAACTCAAGAAATTACTTAACCTCTCTATGCCTCAGTTTCTTCATCTGGAAAACTGGGATAGTAACAGTAACTTATAGCATTCTAAGAATTAAATTGGTTGATATGTACAGGGAGCTGACATATTATACTACTCAATAAATGTCATCTATTTATAGGATCAATGGTCTCAGAAAATACCACAGGGTTGTATTCCTCTCCATTCAGATGTCAGGACTTAAGATGAGTGGAATCAATGGTGATGGGTAAATGAAGGAAAATGACGGAAAAGAACAAATAGGAAATAATAACCTGATGTCACAATAACAATTCTACCCAACACCTTGTGTTGAGCTATCCCAGGAGTCTCTTGGAGTGGGGGCATCCAAGTCAAGGCAGACTTAGAAATGTACAAGACTGCAATGTACAAGATGGTGAAGCACATCTACCAGAGCTCTAAATGACCTGTTTCCATGCTACTCTAAATGACTATATTGGTCCTGAAGCCCGCTGATAGTTAGCTGAGGAAGTAGGTAGACCAAACTATTCTCTGATCTTAAGACACTTGGAAACAGCTTCTTTGAGTTGTGTATTGAACCTAGGTCACCTATTATGAAGGAAAGGGGTAACATAACACAGCAGGCCTCATTGTGCTGTCCTTAGAAACACTTGCTTACAAGGTTAGCGGTTGGCTGGCGTCTGGAAACTTAGATTCCGGGAGAATTCTCATCCCTTCCAGAACAGATAAAGGGGCTCACTGTGACTAAACTATGTGTAAAAATAATATGGCTTATGCAGAACACCTGCTCTCCTTCTGGGACACTGGAATTTTGGTATGTGACCAGCTGAGTCTCTAAATGAGCTCCTCTGGTGGACAACATTGTACATATGCTGCCATAACTTGTTGCTGGGAAAATTAAGCACATCCTGTGTAACTCCAGTGGGAAAGGACACTTGGAGGTTTAAGCCTGGATTCTTTAGAACTTCACCACATATGCCTTTTTTCTTTGCTGATTATCACTACATGTGGAGTTCCGGGAGTCCTCCTAGTAAACCAGCAAACCTGGCAGTGATCTTGGGAAGCACTGACACATCTTTCATCTAGTTCCCTTCCAATGTGTCATGGTCCCCATCTGCCTCCCAGCTGATACCTGGAATCCTGAGAGCCTCAAAATTGTCCTTTTGAGTCGTTCAAGTGGGTTAACAGCTTGGTGATTTTCTCTGGAGGTTCTCCCAGAACAGGACACTCACACATCCTGGGGTGTGCCCATGTGTCAGCCAGCCTCTATCTCAAACAGCTGCCTCTGCGTAAACTACAAATATGCCAGTCCTGAATCACGGTGACTAACAGCTTTTTAAAAACTCAGATAATTGGGGCGCCTGGGTGGCGCAGTTGGTTAAGCATCCAACTTCAGCCAGGTCACGATCTCGCGGTCCGTGAGTTCGAGCCCCGCGTCAGGCTCTGGGCTGATGGCTCAGAGCCTGGAGCCTGTTTCCGATTCTGTGTCTCCCTCTCTCTCTGCCCCTCCCCCGTTCATGCTCTGTCTCTCTCTGTCCCAAAAATGAATAAACGTTGAAAAAAAAATTAAAAAAAAAATAAAAAATAAAAACTCAGATAATCACGGACAAAATCATTATATGTACACCTAAGAGAATATCTAGAAGTGTAGCACAGGAGAAAAGGGACAACCTCCTGAAAAGGCTCCGAATCAAGAGGAATGCTAAGAGTCTTCTGAAACAAAAACACACATACTGACAAAGGAAGCAGGGATTGAAAGAGTCTGAGGTATATGCTATATGCTTACGCATCCGTCCTCTGTTTCTTTTCATCTCCTATGGCCAGATTTCTGCAATTCTTGACAAAAATGTAGAGCCCGCCAGTTTTGTAGCAGTAGCTGATGTGAAGAAGGATTTCACCACTGACCTTCACGTTGCCATAGTCTCCTGTTTCGCTGTAAACACTCATCATGCTGTTAAGGCTGGTCTGGAATAAACGAGATGAAGACAGGTGTCCAGTGTTATTCTCATTGTTTCCTCACAGAAGCCACCCCCTTCATTCAATTACAATTCTTATTCGTTATAATGAGCAGGAAGTTGTAGGGTGAGAGAAGAAAGCAAAAATCACTTGTTTTGCTTGTTTTTCTGGTATTGTATAAAGTCCAAGCCTGGGAAGGGACAAGAAGACTTAAGGAGCATTAGTAAGGAAGGCAGGAAACTTGCTGAGAAGGGAAGCATTGCCTTTCTGGGTGGCAAATAGCCTTTGTTTATTCACTTCTAATGAATACGGATCACTGAGGCATTTCCAATCCCACATCCTCTCCTGATTCATGTAGCTTTCACCTTTCTCACTGGTAGACTCAAGGTCAGTCTACTTCAAGGTCTAGAATGCACCCATCAGGACAAAGAAAAGCTCATATATTCTGTGCTAGCAGGAGACACAAGGTTTCCTCTCTGACACCCCCAGAGAGCATCCCATCAGTCTCTGGGAAGCCGTAACTGCAGCTTTAACAAGGGCAGGCCAGAAGAACATCATATACCCTTGGCTGTTGTGAATTCCCTGAGCAGCTGTTGTGGTCACACGGGTAGTATGAGACCAGAACTCTGTAAACCTCTACAAAATAACAACCCACAAAATCGAAGAGTAAGCAAAAAAATTACACACCAACCAACAAATAAAATAAAATGTGAGAGAAAAACAGTCCAAATCTACCAGAATGAATAAATGGCAAGGGACATATTTAAATTAAATGTAACAAAAGTATCCTTTAGTGCCCAAACTGTATCTTAGCAACACACCTGTCACAAGAGACCACTTGAAAGGCTTTCATGAGTGACCCAGTAGTTTCAAAAGCCCTGTCTGTGAACTGGTGGGAAGGATTATAGTAAGTACAAAGGGAGCCCAAGCCCAGGCTTCCCACTTTTCAGATATGCCTGACAAAAGTCATCATGTTCCTCTAGTTACTCAGAGTAGAGACCGATCAAAGAACAGGATGTGGGTGACGTGGCTAGCATCTCTTCTCAGCTGGAGTCTAGGGCTTAAGAATTCCATGATTACTTAAAAATGATAATTTCAAGAGAGCCAGTGAGTGATCTAATTTGTCTTTCCCAGTCCTAAAACGAAACAAATTTTTCATAATAACAGGTGGCTTTGAGCAGTGCTTTTCAAACTTTAATTGCACATAAATCACCTGGGGATCTCTGTCAAATGATGATTCGGGTCCAGTTAGTCCCCAGTGGGGTCTGAGAGTCTGCTTTTCTAACAAACGCCTAGGCCCACAGCTTCCAAAATGTGTACTGAGGCATCCCAGAGTACCACAGCACATGCACAGGGGCAGTACAGGATATTTTAAAGTTTCAAGGGAAACACAGCGACATCTATCAGACATTGTGCAAACTGTTTACAGTAGTTCACGATGTCAACATTAAATCACAATTTATTCTTTTCAGGTAAGTCCTAACGGTGTGAAGCTGAGTTTTTGACAGTTGCCGTGAAAAAAAAAAAAAAAAGTGCTGCATAAAAATCAATGTGGAACAGGAAATAAAAGAGGTGCTGTTCAATCAGAGTCCAAGATTTGACAAGTTGTGAAGTGCCCAACAGGCAACCACATCCCATTAGTAAGGAATAAGAGCTATTTAAGAGTGGAATAAAAATATTTTTCTTTCAATTTATGTGTATTATTGTTCCACCTGTCTACTAAGTTGTTAGCATAGCAGTGCTTATTAAGTTTTTTAACCTAACTGATGTGGAGAACAAAGGCAAAAGAAATCTAGAAAAAATTAAATTTTCCGTTTCAGCCCATTGACAAGTCTGAGACAGGCAGGGTGACTTTCCTCCAGGAACTCAACTGCCTTGATGCTAATACTTTGCTAGAGGCAAAAGGCAACCTTAGCTTGACATCAGCCTGACCTCCAGGACCCTGTAAGTCTCTAACATAAAAATCCCTTTGGAAACTTCCTTTATCTCTACCCACCGCTCCCCCTCTCCCTGCAAGATACATGTTAGCAATCATCCTCCAAGCATACGGCCCCCTGGTATACATCTGAAGGGTCTCGTGACTAAGGTTTTACTAGACTATGTAAATACCCTTACCTTTCACAGCAGCTAGCCCCTCAAGGTCCCGGAAATCTTGCTTCCAAATTCCTTAGAGGCTTATACTATCCCTCACCCCCTCCCACTTTGAAAGTATATAACCAGTCCACACCTCACACCCCCAGTGCAGCTCTTTCTGCCCACAGAAAGCTCTTCCTGCCTGTCCCCGTGCTTTCACAAAACCACCTTTTTCCACCAAAGACATCTCAAGAATTCTTTCTTGGCTGTTCACTCCCAGACCCCAACATTTCACATCACTAACTACTCGATACATGGGTTGGTCAGGTGTTATTTTTGGCTCAGGAGTAGGATCAAAGAATCACTAGGGGTTCTGTGAATGGACAGTGTGAGAGTCTCTGCCCTACGGGATGCGACGTTGCTGGTGCATAGACTATGCTTTGACTTTCAAGGGCTTCAAGAATACGCCTCTACTCCCTGTTACAGAAGACGAAACTCTGGCCTCCAGAAATTACTGGCAGAGCCAAGGCAGGAAGCAAGATCTTCAGATTTTTAGTCTGAGGACCTCCCTACCATGCCTCCCCACTAAGTTGTGTCGACATCACATCCCTCAGTAGCCACGTTTTCAAAAAGGTCCTCAGTAAGCAGGGGGACCCTATAGATAGAAGAAAATGTAAGAACCCACAAATGCTGGAGCTTGGGAGAAATTAAGGCAATTTTGCTCCTAACCAACCGGTATGCTCTTAACCAAGTTAATGTGATTTAAAATAGAGATGTTCATTTCAAAGAGGTTTCGTAAGTGGTAAATCATTTTGAACCATGTGTCTTTTGACTGGCACTCAGGTTCTCATGTTTAATGATCTTTTCTTCCCTTGGACTACTTGGATTCTGATAATGTTGTTTACCCTTTAAAGAGAAACTCTGGTTAATTACACACAAGGCAGGAAAAGATAAGTGCTGGAAAATGTGCCCACCTTATCAGATTTCCCGTACCATGAAATTTGTGAAGTATGGTTGGAAAGAAGGCAAAGGAAAGACTGAAAACTCACAGTGTCTGAGTCAGCATCAGGGACATTCAGGTAGGTCCACTTCCTGTCAGAGCCTGCTGGAGAACTCTTTAAGAAAGTCGCCCAAAGGTCAAAAGGAAAAGGGTATTAGAGCAACAGACAGAAATCAGAGAAGCAAAAAAAAAAAAAAAGACCTACAGGCATATACACATAGATGGATATGAGGACACGGGGGCTCCTAAAGCCTACTTCTCAAGCAAAGCCTTGAACATGAAAGTAAGAAGGGACTTTATTCTACAGGCAGTGAAAAGCTATGGACATTGTCTGAGTAGGAGAGAAACCCGACTGGGTATGTATTTGAGGAAAACGACTAGCAGCAGCATGGTGGACAGTTGGGAAATTGAGAGAACGGGGGCAGGGAAATAAATGTATGCAGAGAACTATGATAGTTTATAGGTTTGAGGTGATGAGAGCCTGAACTGGGGAGGGAAGATGTTTTAAAAACTGCGCGAGGACCATGGAAGGAGAGGGAAGGAAAAACCCATACAAAATTAGACCAAAAAGTTTTCTGTGGCCAAAAGGCAAGCAGATGATTATAATGACGTTTAACTCACTATCACACATATTCCCAAGAACATTCCTATCTCCTTTGAAAAAAAGTACAGAAAATCAACAAGAGAAAGAAGAAACTTCCAGTCACAGGCTAGATAAATGCTTACAGTTGACAGGCCACTTGCTAGACTGTGGGTGTTTGCCGAAAACCGTGAGGACACTAAGTCATTAATGCCTTCCCCAGTCTCTTCCAAGGAGTCCTAAGGAAGGAGGAGAACATCAGTGCTTTAGTTTCTTTCTTTCCTAGGAAGAGTTTTCACTTCCAAAACCACTTTGTTTTAAAATACCTTGAACTATTAGATACAAATATCTATAAATCACCTTATTCTGAGGTTTTTCTCTTTTGCTATCCATTCAACGTGAATTATTTCATCAGAGGATTGGGGTCTCCTTCCTACTGGTGCTTGTTTTATGAAAAGAACATGAAATTTAGAATCGCACAAACCTGGGTGTTCAATTTCTACCTCCCTGATCTCTAAGCTTTGGGCAAGGTACTTAAATTATTTAACTAAAAAGAAAATGGGTTTATGCATGTGTGTATACTGTCAATATGGGGAAATAGATCTTAAAAATCTCTCCAACAGAATTAACTCTTTTAGACACTGGATTCTTGTCCAAAATTCCAGATTCTGCTTTTCTTCTCCTACATGATAAAGTGGTTTTTCCTTTGGTTAATCATGCAATGCATTTTTACAGTAAAAATTTGCAAGCAATATAGATAAATATAAATTAAACTCAGGACTCCCACTAATATCTTAATGATCAAGTTTCAATAGTTTTATGATATGTACACACACATGCCTACATACACAACCACACATAAGTGGAATATATCATGCATACTTTTTTTTTTTTTAATTTTTTTTTTTCAACATTTACTTATTTTTGGGACAGAGAGAGACAGAGCATGAACGGGGGAGGGGCAGAGAGAGAGGGAGACACAGAATCGGAAACAGGCTCCAGGCTCTGAGCCATCAGCCCAGAGCCCGACGCGGGGCTCGAACTCACGGACCGCGAGATCGTGACCTGGCTGAAGTCGGACGCTTCACCGACTGCGCCACCCAGGCGCCCCATCATGCATACTTTTTTTTACACGAACACCTTGCTTTTTTGCTTCTCCTCTCCTCCGTTTCCTCTCACCCCAGGTTAAACTAATATTTTATATATTCTATTCCATATCTCCTTATTTATGTGAAAAATCATATAAAATTGTGCACACAGAAATCTGAGCAGTCATACATAAGAATTTCCTTTAACCATGTTGTTATAAATTGATATATATATATACACACACATATACATACACACACACACATATACACACACACAC